CTGTGCCGTCGGCATTGCAGCACATGATGGCATATAGTCGATCCTTGAAGTACATGCTCTTGGAGCCCCGCGCCGTCTTCCGATCCTCTTTCGTTCGAGGAAAGATACGTGCACCTGGGCATGAGCTTCCACTGGAGGCCTGTCTCGTCGACGTTGAAGATGAACCTAGCCGGGTACTTCGCGCAAAGGGCCCTGATTTCGTCCATGCCCTCCTTGATGGCCGCGCTGTCGACGCTACCAGCCTCGCCATGAAGTGTCACGCTCTGGATTTTGTTGCGCTTCACGAAGTTTTTTGCCCACTTCTCGCCGGCCTTGAAGTCCTCGACCCTCGCCCTCACTGCTTCAGAAGTCGCAGGGTCAGGGTTACCCTGGCGGAACGGCCGAAGCTTCGAAGGACATCGGGTGTGACGGGCATCTTGGCCTGCCCAGCTTTCTCGAGCAGATCAAGAGCTATCTTATCCACCTGACGCCGAAAAACCAGTGTAGAACAACAACATCGATGCAGCGAGTGCAAAAAATCGAACCATTAGTTTCGAACGATAGCATAACACACATCATACACTGCGCGGCGTGGTCAGGCGGGAACGAAAAAAAAAGGTGATGTGATATACACTTGAAAAAAATTGCGGGCAAGAAGAGACAAGCGCTGCAGACGTATACATGGGTGGTTCCACATGGAAAAAGAGGGTGTGTGAGATCGGAGATAGTAGATGCGACACGAGAAAAAAAGGAGAAAAAAAATACAACAATCAGGGAAAGGACGGCGAAAAAAATACACAAGGAAGAAAGGAGAGGCGAAAANGAACGATAGCATAACACACATCATACACTGCGCGGCGTGGTCAGGCGGGAACGAAAAAAAAAGGTGATGTGATATACACTTGAAAAAAATNTGGCTAAATTTTCACGCCCCTGTGCATGAAAATTATTATTTTTCTCGTGCGCACATACTCTACCCACGATCCCTCTAGTAAACAGCTTTTTTTTTTGTAAAACAAAACAAAAAGCGTACCCCTAACGGGCCACACTTCTTCAAAAAAAAACTATCAAAAAAATAAAAAAAACGAAGGGGAACGACAGAAAGACCGACAAAAAAGGAACGCTGCAAAAGAAAGCGATAGACCGAAAAAAAAAGGCCGCACAAAAAAAGGCGAGGAAAAAACAAGGTCACAGCAGCAAGGCAGTGTATGTAACGCACCTCCGGAAAATCTCCTTTGCGTGCAGTTTTCTGGCTGCCGTTGCCTGCAGCTGCCGCCGCGTCGATCGCCTTCCGGTCAGACCTCACCGTCGCAAGAAANCGAGTGCAAAAAATCGAACCATTAGTTTCGAACGATAGCATAACACACATCATACACTGCGCGGCGTGGTCAGGCGGGAACGAAAAAAAAAGGTGATGTGATATACACTTGAAAAAAATTGCGGGCAAGAAGAGACAAGCGCTGCAGACGTATACATGGGTGGTTCCACATGGAAAAAGAGGGTGTGTGAGATCGGAGATAGTAGATGCGACACGAGAAAAAAAGGAGAAAAAAAATACAACAATCAGGGAAAGGACGGCGAAAAAAATACACAAGGAAGAAAGGAGAGGCGAAAACGCAGACAAAGAAAGCAAAACGAGAGACAAAAAAGGTGAGGACAAAGACAACAAAAACAAGGAAAGAACGACGGGGAGAGAGAAAAGGGAAAGACAAAAAAACGAAGGGGAAAGACAGAAAGACCGCAAAAAAAGGAACGCTGCAAAAGAAAGCGATAGACCGAAAAAAAAAGGCCGCACAAAAAAAGGCGAGGAAAAAACAAGGTCACAGCAGCAAGGCAGTGTATGTAACGCACCTCCGGAAAATCTCCTTTGCGTGCAGTTTTCTGGCTGCCGTTGCCTGCAGCTGCCGCCGCGTCGATCGCCTTCCGGTCAGACCTCACCGTCGCAAGAAATCGAACCGAGCACGAGAAGCGGTCTGCAATCTGCGCGTAGGAGACCTTGGCATCCATCGCCTTCAGTATTTCAAGTTTCTTATTGTTGTCCGGCCACGCACGAGAACCACAACCCTTCTCACTCCCCCCCCTTCTGAGGGTGTTTAGAGGATCCCGCCCCAGCACCATCAGCTGGTACCGCTTTGCGCTTGCCAGGCTTGGCGACGCACTTGCTGCAGATGCGGTGCATTTCGTTGTCCTCAAACATGCTGCCGCAATTGCCGTGGAGCCGGCCGCCAAACCTTCCCTTGCAGACGTGGCCATGAGGGGCTTGCTGCGTTGTGCCTTGCTGATGCCACAGTTCACCGTCCGCACAAGGCATGGTGCGCCTCTGCGTAGAGCTCTTAGGGTCTGCAGCACCACGTGTATCCGCGTTTTCTGTGTTGCCTCTGCCCGCTGTTCGGTGTGGGTGGGTGTGTGTGTGTCCAACCTGCACTATTGCGGGGCACCGCGGTGCCCAACCTGCACTATAGCGGGACCTCCCTGAATAGTGCAGGACCTGCACTATAGAGGGCGCTGTCTGTGTCCAGAGATTTTACCTGCACTATACCGGGCACCTGCACTGTCCAACCTGCACTATAGAGGGCCCACTACTGTACACAGTCGTCCCCGCTTTAAGACACCACTTTTAAAGACAATCCCCGATTTAAGAACACAAAAAATAGGGGAAACATGGTGCCCCGCAGATTTGAAAAAGTAGGGGGCGTAGGTTTTTCCACCATTCGACCCCCCCTAGAAAATGTGCTGCAGCACCCGCAGATCCTGGATCATCAACAGCGGTCTGCTGCAGCCGCACACTGCGTGTGGGTGTGTGTATGGAAAGATTCATTCCATCTGCTAGCGGTTCGTCTGCTGCCGGCTTGAAGCCATGCGGCGAACCGACGTGCCAGTTCAAATCTGCACTGGTTTCACTGGTTCATCAGTGACCGGTAGCGAGATCTTGGGCAAGATATTCACGGGGAGGACAACGCCTAAAAAATAACATGAAGCAAATAATTAAGCCCACATCAACAGCAGCGCACTACCGTCGTGTAGACGTACGATGCGTAGGTCGTAGAACACCATCGCATTCAGGGTTTTGATGGTACAGTACGGGGAAATTCAAACGCAAGTATGTATTGCAGCACAATACCAGCAGTGGTTGCGACCTTCAAATCACCTTGTGTCGTAGGTTTCAAACAACACCTCTTGTGGTCGCCTTTTTGCTGCGAATGCGCACCTTTTGACATATGTTTCGCCTTCATTGGCCCCGGGGATGGTGCGTTAGCGGCCCCGGAATTTTAAAGACACTCCCCCGCGTTAAAGACACTATTTTTCTGGGAAAACGTGGTATGTCATTAAAGCGGGGTCGACTGTAGACTACACATTCCAAGCGAGAGCCCTTACACATGGACGGTCCGGCGCAATTATTACATGGTACGGCCAGGCAAGGACACAGCAGTAGCAGACCGACTCCATACTTGTAGGAATGCTACGAGACGAGAGGGAATAGAAATACATACTTCATACTTGTATATATACACATTCCAAGCGAGAGCCCTTACACATGGACGGTTCCGCGCAATAATCACATGGCGCGGCCAGGCAAGGACACAGCAGCAGAGCAGGCACGCAACACGCTAGCTTTTTCAATTGCATGCCAAAGCCAATTGCATGCCGAAGCCAAAACTCAGCGTGGACACAAACACTTGCGCACCTGCCGACCACCAAGGTCCCGTACGACGTCGCCGCGGCGAGCATCACCGCCCCGACCGTGAAGACGACCGCGGCCAGCAGGATGACCGGGCGCCGCCCCCACCGCTCCATCGCCGGGCCGCCGGCCACCGCGGCCGTCACCGCCGCCGCGATGGTCACGCTCACGATCACCTCCTCCTGCCAGTCGCTCAGGTCGAAGTCCTGCTTGATCAGGAGCATCGCGCCTGACACCACGCCCGTGTCGTAGCCGAACAGGAACCCGCCTAGGGCGGAGGTGACGGTCAACATCAGAACAAACCAGGAGAACTGGTCATCGGGGCGCCGTTGGTGTTGCTGAAAATGTTGGTTGGCTTCTCGGCTGTTGTCGTCATCACCACCTCCATCCTCCATTGTTTGGGTATAACCTGCGCGCTGGTAGTGGACCTCCGTCTTCGGCATTGACTACGACGCAGGGCGGGGCGTGGTTGCTGGCGCCGTTGCCCCACCGGCACAACCAATACGACAAAACACGGGACTGAAGGATGTGTAGGAGGCAAGTACCCCGCGTTATTTTCCCCTTGCTTGATGGTAGTCTAGCAACAGAGTATACTGTGATGTTCCAGGGTGAGACACAGCAGCAGTAACTGGTATCCAATAGTAGCGCTGAAGAGGGTACTGCTGTAACCCTTCCGAGAGAGAGGGGGGGTATGCCAGGACCGCTACCTGAAGCAGCTGAGAGGAGCGAAATTTTCTAGACGATGCGGTCGGATAGGGGGCCGACAGAGTGGATGCATCACCCATCACCCAACGATCATGATCATCACCGCGCAATCATCACCCATGCACCTCGTCCATCGCCATATTGCCATATCTGGGATTCCTTACAGCAGCGTACCTATGTATATTCCCGTGATTTGTGGCAGCACAGCAGTACAACAACAGCAGTCGGTACCGCAGCCCGCGGCGGCTCAGGGGGCCGGGGAGCGACCCGAAAATAACCACTCTCCCCCCCTACCAAAAAATTACATGATGAGCTAGCATAAGTAGTGGTGGGAGCTGGCAGCACCATGAGAGGTTTCCTATTGGACACGCTTCCTCAGCTGTTCGTTGTTTCTTTTGTCACGGGGTATCGCACGATCTGTTTCTTATTGGGACGTTTCTTACGTCGTGGCCGAGATTAAGCTGAGTTTCTCAGCCCGTTTTCTTATTTTCGCAAACATTTGAGCTTATTTTTCTTAGCCAATCCAGCCAACATTGATCGGTAAACCAGAACCAGTTGCCAAGTGGGTACACGTTGTGGCCCTGATGGCCTTCCACAAGACGAGCAAAACTAAATAGATGTAGTTTAGTTATCATATTGCAGAACTAAAAAAAAAAACACGAACGAAGAAGCACACGCAAGCATGATGGAGATACACTGGTCCAAGGTTCAGCGCCGAACCTACAGGGTCAACACGTGCTCGAACTCCACGATTGTCCATCGAGTGCAGTAGTAGCAATCATCAAAGCGTCCTCATTCGGGGTGGTAGTTGTATACGTCTCGACTACTGTTCGCGGACCACGGCACGCCATGCTTCGTTCAGCACCAGCAGCCCGCACCGTCGCTTGCCAGCTCGTCGGGCATTCTGTGCACGGCGGGGTCAACAAGTTGGCCAAAGACACGACACATCCAAGCAACAAACGAAACACCCGCGTGAACCACCCACCCACCGCTACACCAGTAACACCAACGATTACGACGACTATGGGCAACCGTACAAAATTTACGACAACTATGGTAACCGTACAAGAACAACGACATGTGTGTGCGTACTCTGCCACACATGAAAAAAACAAGAAATATTTCCACAGGACACGTAACGGACCAAATAACGGCAAATCATACCATGCACAGGGACCGCAACCTAGACTCTGATGAGGAACAACAGGCATCAATCACAAGCGGGAGGACGCTTGCGAGCGAACCCGGAGGAACCGGTTTATGATGTTCCTTGGCAGCCATGATGACGCAGGCAGGCAACACAAGGACAAAAAAACAGCAGCCCAGCATCGAATGCCTCTATTAAACCGGAAGTCCACATATGCCTACACCCCCCCCCCTTTCGCACCACAAGTACACAATATCTGGACGAACAAAGATTCACGCACCCCATACCGGAGGAGCTGCAGATAACAGCCAATAGACTCGAAGGCATGCGTTGCTGCCCAAACACCAAGGTGCTCTCCTTCGCGCACCCCACTTCGTTACCGAGTCGCCGCTGCAAACGGCTTCCGACACAGAGAAGACGCACACATGCGTAAACACACGGACGGAGCCCCGTTCTCTGCCTCTTCTGTCGGGGCTGGCCCGGGGGAAAAATAAAAAGCGTGTTGCGTTTTTTTCAACCGATGAAAAGACAGGTTTGCCTCTAATTGATGCTGCTTGACGAAAGCACAAACAACCACGCACACGCACACCCCACCCATACATACGTTGTACCCGTGCCCTACTCGGTCGCCCCGGTGGTCTAGTGGTATCCTCGTTATCCGCTAGTCGCAGAGGTCGTGAGTTCGAATCCCCATGGGGTGAAAAATTAACGAAATTTGCGGGTGAAAGCGAAGTATAGCTAAAAAGCTCTCGTGAGTACCAAACTTCGACGTTAGCACCGTTGACGAGGGAAAGGGACAGCTGGACCCTTCTCGTGATAAAAATAAAAATTCAGCACGCACCGCAGGAGGCAGGGGGGGGCATGAAAAGAAATAAAGTAGAAGAAAAAAGGCCTGGTGCTTACCCCCTGCTGTGTGACCCTGGATGGTTGTAGTTGTACGAAAGAATACACTGAAAAGTGTAGAACACGTCTCACCACGAAAAATGGGGGGACTGTCGCCATAATAAAAAGGACGAAAATACACAAAAAAAAACACACACCCGTGCTGAGACTGGCGCCTTTTTCGTTCGCCAGCCAGCTATGTAGCGCGGTCGATGCCACCAACGGAAACAAAACACGCCCATGCACACAATAAATTCTGGAAAGCAAGCGGGCATGAAAACAAAAAGACTACACCATTCGAGGGTACTACACCATTCGAGGGAGGCGGAGGTCGTACAGACACGCCAGCAGGCGCAAGATGATCACAGTGAAGAATCCCACGCAGATTCGGAAGAGAGGGTCTTTCGAATATCTCCTAGCGAGCAGGTACGCCCCCGAACCAATGGCGGCCGTGCTGACGTACATCTGGGCGTGTGACGAGAGCGCCATGACCGGCGACGAGGTCAGGACCTGCAAAGTTTAGAGACGGTCAGCATCATTCATCAAAACCGGAGTTTAGGTGACGCGGTGGTTTCCTCTTCTGCTGCTGTTGCTCGCATAAAACGTGCTGCTTGTGATTGCTGGTACCGATGTCGTTACTGTTCACGCTCCCCCCCCCTATGAGCATATATTGTCGTAGGCATTAGCAGCCGCCCTCCCGAGGCGCAATTCCGAAACGACAGCTTCACATACATGCACATCCTAATTGATAGTCAGAAAAAAAAAAACACTCGAAACCAATGCGAATTGATGCTTTGGCAGGAAAATGCATGAAAGCCGCGTTTGTCGGGGTGTCTCCAACCGTGTGTCGGATTCGCACAAAAATACACCACACCACGACGAGCGGTAGGAAGCAAGCACTCCCCCTCAATCACAAACTGCGGTTTCAAAACCTACATCTCGCAGGATTCCTCCGCCGGAGCACGTGATACAGCAGATGACGATCGTAGTGCCCGGGTGACACTTCCTTCGGATGCCGTTCTGGGTCGCCGCCACCGCGAAGGAAGCCAGCCCGACCGTGTCTATTGCCTGGGAGAGCCAGCCGTCCAAGCCGGTGCCCATGTGCGATAGGACGGACACTCGAGACAGCACCGGCCACAGCACAAACGTCACAACCGCTGTTACCACGCATATCGTCACGTACTCGACCTGTGAAAGCGGGAGAAGGAGGGGTGTCCAGCTGAGAAGAACTGCTACCGGCCACACGACGCTGCTGTGCCGCAGAACAAACATGAGCAAGCACCGCCATATGCGTCCAATGAGAAAAAGAAGTGCCAGCGACGGCAGGCAACCGACCCCGCCATCCACCGAGCAAAATCTCCGCAGAGCCAATTCTACCCAGGCGTCCAAGCAAGCAAGGAATCGAAGAAATGCACACGGCGAAGTAGGGCAAAGCGACCGACCGACCAAGTCACCCGCGCCGCAAAAGAACAGCACTATCCATGCCCCGCGAACCCCAACCTCAACGAGCCAAAACACCGGAGTCTGGCCGAGCAGCAGGTCCCGCACAGTGCCCCCGCCTGTCGCCGCCAACACCCCCACGAAAATGCACCCCAGGAGGTTCATCCCCCGCATGCCCGCCGTGGCTGCTCCGCTCATCGCGAAAGAAACCGTTCCCACGTAGTCCAAGAAGCGCACGAGGCCGCCGGGGCTCTTAAAGTTCGGATATCTGTTGTGGATCGCGCCGGTTGGGTTTTACTTGGGGGTTCTCAACTGACAAAAAAAAAAATGCGTTTGAATCGCCGAATGGCGAAAGTAAGGTTCTAGCGGGAAAAGAGCTCCCGGGACGTTGTTTCGTCGACAACGTAGGGATGAATGGTGGGCTGGTTTGCTCGCCATCTTGACTATAGCAGTGCGGGTTCTCGTGGAGTTTGTAGCACACGCATGAGCCCACCCTCTTACGGCTGCGGGAGGCGTTGACAGCAGGGACATCGTTGGGTGTCCTTCAGCAACAAGCGATAAGAGGAGGAATGGTGTTCAAAACGTACTCCAACTACTTGGGATGGAGAAATTTAGGGGAATCGAAACTGTTCCATCGGTGGCCAAGATTCTGCGCTCATGTTTCGGTTTACACCCTGCGCGCCGAGAAGATACAGCACCAGCACGCGGCTGCGGGTATGGTGAGGATACAGGAGGAGGATAGTTGCACAGCCGATCGTTGCAGCGGGAAACCTCGTGCTCTAGAGCTCGAGTGGCAATCTACACTACTATACGGATACATGCGCTCGAGGGATTCTACTGCTGTAGTCCTAGAGCTCGAGTGGCAATCTGCACAAATATTATATGCATACATGCGCTGGAGGGATACATTACAATATTTACAATGAAGTACGTGCACAATAACATAAGAGTAAATAACTGCCGACCTGCTGAGCGCCTCTGGAGTCGGGATAGCCCTCCGATTCACTCCATCCTGCCACTTGTTCCTGCTGCCCCTAGTAAAAGCAACGTTGATGCCTCCACCACGAGCATGAACGACCGTTCCTGGCAGCACCACTGTCTGTCGTGGAGCGCTGCTGCTGTTGGGGAAAATGCGGTCCTGCCCCCCTGGGTCAGAGTCGCCGTTGTGGTTGCGAGCGAGGGGTGTCGGTGGCTGCGGCTGTGGTCGCCACAGTTCAGCCGCCGCACATGGTCGCCGCCACGCCACCGAGAGTAGAAGAATGCATTTCAGCAGTCGTAGCATAGCGCCGGTAGTTGGCTCCTGACCCTGCTGCACACCACGGGAGAGGCAGAAGCGTGGTGTTTGTTGATGCCACCTGTGTTTCCTCTTTGGCGTTGCACAGCAGCACGGTGCGGCGCAATTTTAAAAGCAAGCCCTGAAGCCCTCCAAAAGGAACTCCCTTTGATTGTTGCGACTCGAGATGTTTTGGCGTTTCATCTGATTGGCGCGTGTCATCACCTCATCAGGTGTTAGATGATGGCGATCTTACCGGTATAACGACGAGTAACCATACACGAACCCTTCCGCCATTGCGGACGCTACCTATATATGCCTTGTATTCCTGTTATGATGGGGTACGACAGGTTTGCGTTGACCCGCGGTTCGTTCTCTCAGCACGGGAGTCTCGTCGCTGATTGCAAGCACGACAAAAACACACGATTCATGGTGGAGACGCAGCGGGAGTTGCGTGAGACCAGGCAAGAGGCGTAACGGAGTCCCGGGGCGTTGTTGAGAAGCAGCAGCTAAAGAATATCGAGGTGCGTGCGTGGGTGGGAAGGGGTGGTATTCAGAGTGTTTGTTTGGCGGGGAGCTTGTTGTTGTTGTTGTGGAGGGTGCAAGAACCGCTATCTACAACTAACTGCTATAGTGCTGGGGCAGACCAAGTTGCACCGTGTGGCAGCATCTTGTCCTTCTGTTGTAGCTGTGTTGTTTCGGAGTAACGTGCGACCCTGCCGATGCACCGATGATCCCATGAGCTGAGGCAAGACATACAACCGGAGCTCGATATTGCAGTAACGGCTCGCTGATAGGAACCCGATAGCCAGGCGAAGCTCGAGCGTTGATGTATAGACTAGTCTAGACTACATGGCATGTACATGGGGTTTAGATGAGCTGAGGGCGCGGACATCGGGAAAGTCACGAACACACACACGACAACAGTAATTTATACCGTCGGTTGAGATCGTGACTGCAGGCTTTTAGTTGATTTTACCAGTTAGTATACGTGGGACTGCTTCATGACCTAAGACGCCGCCGATCTCATTTGAGATCAACCGTTGGACCGAAAATTGCTTGGGAAGTTTCAAGATAATCTCCGACGGTGCGTTTCCTGTCACTCTCCCAGTGACAAGATGCCCCGATGGAGCTATATCTTCCTACACTTTGTATGTGCACTCATGGTTGGTTATACTCCCGACAGGTGTCCTCCACAATATTCTCCAAGGAACTCTCTGATCGGTCAGTGTCAAGAGGACGTACATAAACCATGCTGTGCTGTCAGTACCAAAAAAAAAAAACTTCTACATTGGAGCGTAGTCCTACTCGCCCTGCCCACTAGCCCACGCCTCTTTGCGACACAGAGACTAACAAACACAACCACGCAATCACAGCTACGTATTGACCACCTTTGACATTGGGTATGGGATCGGGTAAGGCCTCCAACCACGGCCAGTGGTTCCGCCCACACTCCTTCCATTACCACCACAGAATAGCTCGGTGTGTACTTACACTGGGCAAGTGGGAATATGTCGTGCTCCCATTCGTCTTTTCCCGCCTGGACCGTACGTGGCGCGATCGGACCGAAGCGTGATCAGCAAACGGTCTGGATGCAAACACTCAGCATATTTCAAGAGAATGTAGACTATATCACCTATGTGGCATACGAAAAAGGCTACAACCGCCAACGAGAGTCTCTACAGTCAGCAGACATAGCAATGACGCGGAGGATCCATTTTTCCATCGAGCAAGTGCCACGAAGCAACGGGACACAGCCGCGACCATGTGCAATTTCTCTTGCCCGCTACCACAACCGCCGAGAAAGACTTGCTAAAACAAACCCCGAGTTGACCTGATTGCCACCCCTGGCCCCACCACTCGTCGATATCACCTACAAGCGATCTGGAAGCATACATACATGCACACAGCAGTCCTCTCTTCCCCCTACCGGCAAACGGGACGAAAGCCGCAGAGACATCCGGGGAACACGGTGCGTGCTGGCCACCAAGATACTCGATCGAAATCGCTTGGTTTCCTATTGGACTAAACTATATCCTCTACCGCTGTTTTATTACCCCCCCCCCCCC